AATTATTGTTTTGATGATAAGTCGTTTATAAACGGTACATAAATATGTATCTGACAATATTTTCTGGCAATTCTTGACCTTATTTTTTAAGGCAAATCCTTTTTTATCGTCAAAAAAGATTATAAACGAATTGATTGATTTATATCTCGGTTTGTCTCTAGAGATATGCGCTATAATTAGACATTTCTCCAAACCCTTTGAAATTATGCGAAATCTAGTCTACATTTTCTCATATTATGTTTCATTTTAATCTACTATTTAAGTGAAAACTATAATCAGTTATGAGTGAAAAATCTTGTTTATTAACCATAAAATATATTCTGTTTATTGAACTTCAGGTGTTATTCAACAGTTAATGCCAATGCAGTTGTGAAACTGATATATCATTCTCTCGCAAATGATAACCATTTTTTGTAATCGAAATCATTTTTGAACTCAGAATACCTTTCTATAATTATATTAACTTATTATAACTGAATACTGTAACTGTATTTTCATTTGTCGAAAATAAAAAAGGGTAAAGTTTTATTATTTTCTCAAAAGCATAATTATGTATTTTATTAAAAGATAAGATAAATAACAAATGAAAAACTGAAGGTCAATCAATACCGTGCATAAGTATCGATATCTTAAAGTTACTCGAAATATTTTCACATAAAATACCTATTATATAATATTACACAAGAATTTTTATTAAAATCAGTTTTCACTGTAATTACTTTACCCTCTAGTTTGATATTTAATAAATTAAAATTTTCAAATCAAACTCGAAATATTTTCACATAAAATACCTATTATATAATATTACACAAGAATTTTTATTAAAATCAGTTTTCACTGTAATTACTTTACCCTCTAGTTTGATATTTAATAAATTAAAATTTTCAAAAAGTCTTTTTTACTCATAATTATTTTCTCTAAAGTAGTCTAAAGTCTCATTAAATCAAGTCTAGTGTTACTTTCGGTCACTTTTTTCGACTAAACTATTGTTTAATTTGTCTGAAAAGTTTTTATTTTTGAAAACAAACATAAATCTTGAGAAACTTTATTTATTTTAATGACATTGAAGTAAATTTTGTTTTATACAAGAAAGTCATATTTTCTACACTGTCTGACCCTAACCCACACTTATTTGCCATTGAAGTCAACACTTGTCACTGGCGAATGAGTCCACAAAATATATGATAAGCTAATGACAAAACACCTATAACTCCACCCAAAGCCTACCACACGAAAGGGTGAATAACAGTTAATCGTATCACAGATTCAGTTATTATTATTTCTTCTCTATTGTATATTCTGTATCCCATTTGGAGTACAGTTTGTGTACGGATTTGTCACGTCTTTCCCATTGAAATTGGTTTCCAATTCCATGTTTTATTTATAAAACAATATAAAATTGTTTTATCTCTTCAATGGGAGTAAAAATGTTTGTTTCCGTCGTAAAGACAATGTTCACGGATTGACAAAAATATTGATATAATAAATCTCTCGTAAATGGGATGATATGTCTGTTTTGTATTCACAATGAAGAGCTGATATAAACTATAGTTTTTCTAGTTTTGTGTGTAGTATCCAGTGATAAGAACTCCCATTGAATAATACTGTACACCTGTATTCATATATCGATTGCTATAATATTGATTAATATATAGTTTACATTAATTTGACTCGAGATTTGGGACTAATTGTCCAAACCATTGGAGATAATGTTTCACTCGGCGGCCAATAGTGTTATGTTTAAGTTATCTCTAAGACGACAACAATCATTAAGCTCTGGAAGGTATGACACATTCAATGCCCATATTCTCTATCATAGTATAACATAATTATGAATTTTGTTTACTAAGACTATAATAGATATGAATTCTATAGATAATGAAAACTCTATTTTTGGTCTCATTTTCTCCTCTTGTTTATGTGTCACAAGTTTTTTAGTATTAATTAATGCTTTTTTATCAATAAAAACGATGCGTTAGTTTCTCTGATCTTCTAATGAAAGGATGCTTTCATACAATACTTCTGCGCAAAGAATGTGTATATTTTTCTTAGGGTTTAGTCCTCTCTCTTAATACAACTATTCATTCAGAATATCATGTGTTTTGAACCCCGAATGCCGGAAAAGATATACCAATATATATACAGTATGTGTATATTTCACACATAGTTTTCGATATATTTTTGAGCCAACATTGCCTTCACATCATATGTCGAGCCAATGCGGCAATCGATACGACTATAATGTCTATGAATTTGTTGGATTCGCTAACATTTGATCTCTACTTCCATTAATTCTCCGCTCATTTCGTTTCAAACTCTCTGACCATTTGTTTGTCATTTGCTTTCCTCAGCATTCAATGAAAGCAATCGTTCAATGTATTGATGTATTGCTCTCTAATATCTGAGGTAATTGTCTCTCAGTTTTTATGTATGTATGCAAAAGCAATGCAATCATTAACTAAATTGTTGATATAGTAATGGTTGGCATCAATTGAACTCTTCCTGGAATCCCGTTCCTCTCAATTGTTGTTTAGGTGTATGTCTTGTGTTGTGTTGTGTGTGTCATGTCTATTATGTCTTAAGAAAGCTATATATTAATTGTGAGCGTAAAAAATATTTTCTCTCATTTCTCAACCCATTTCTCATGTAATCTCTTCTAAATCTCATACCTTCTCTCTCTTATCCCTTATTAAGCAACTCTTTATTACAGGTATGAGTGAGTGGTATGAGTTGTATAGCCAGTGAATGCAGAGCTAAATATGATGTATTAATACAACTGTGTTTCTAATGCCCTTAAGCCATATCTCAATCTCTTTTGGCTCAAGAGTTGGTGATTCGCCAAAGAATTTCCACTCTTTTTATTGTATTTTTGTTTGTCTCTTAAGTTTTTATTTATGATAATAAGTTTGCGATGAAACACAACTCAATGTCTACAGAAAAAAGCAGTCTTACAGCGATATATAACTGTTCTTTTGTGGTGACAATTACCTCATGAGTTGTGCACAACTGAACCAATTGTTCCCAATAGTATTTCAAGTGTGCGATCAGTGTATGTGTGGAACTGTATGTGGAGTTTTGTAGTTTTTTAATGCCCTACCATTTCAACCACTCCTTAGTTACTATAACACACTGAGTGAAGCATTCAATTGAATGCAATTGCAATGAATTATATATTAGAGAAACGAGTCATTAATTGCTTTTGAATTAATTTTACCAAAACGACAAATACCTGTCCTTTTTACCAGTGAACCTCTCCATTGTGTCTCTATATTCTCGGTATACTTAAGTAATTGACAGTACATTTGACCTCAAAATTTACTTTACTTTTTATTTGTCTTTCAACGCAATTCTGTACTTTAAAAAATCAATTCAATGTCTGTTTCTCTTTCTTTTGAAGTTATGTTTCGTGTAATTAAGAGATATTTGTTTGTATTTCTCTCTATCTATCTGTGAAACGATCTATAAATGTATGACTCATTTACCGTACGTTTTCAAAGCCAATCGATTGGTAAGGAACTGTTACCCATGTACAATTATGTCTCATATGTTTTTGACACTATTTAATCGTAGACACAATTAAATAGCACCTACATTTCCTCCACTTTAATTGATTACACAATACTCTTATCAAAACTACTACTCGTTTGGCTATTAATAAGCTCTAAATTCTGCGAAATTAGGACCAAACGATTGCTCACAAAAATATTGAGCCGATAATTGTCTTATCTCTGAATTCATCAAACATTGAAAATAATTTAATTAATCAGTCGAGCGGAGCATAAAAACAGCTCTAATTTCTGTCTAAAATAATTCTCGGTCTCCCTATTGTTATTAGTTTTGTTGGATTTTTTATATTTTTATTTAATTTTTAAAACTCATTTCTCACGACTTTTTTGCAGAGATGGAAATGAAATAAACTCAATAAACACTGCAAACCATTCACTATTATATGGCAAACGAATAATGTCTGGAATCCCGCAGAATTCAGTCCCCATTAATAATAACGAATTGATTGTCACGAATGGCAACAATAATTGTCCGCATTCTGTCTTATCTGACGAGGAATTGAAGCTTTTGGCCAAACTTGAGGAACAGAATCGGTGAGTGATTTCGTGGTGTCTGACAATTCATAGACGGGTTTCAACTCATTTCAAGAGTTAAACCATAAATTTATGAAATCATAAATTATGATAAAACCTAAATGATTGTAGACTTAACACACGCTCTCGTTGTTCAAGAATTACCTGTTCCTGTAGTTTATGAGAGTTTTAATATGAAATCACTTCCAGAATAGCGACACATCTGTGTTTCATATTTAATTTCATTTTCAGTCTATTCATTGAATTTAATTATAAAATTCATTCATTAGTTTTAATGTTTTCCTATACTTAACATACATTAGACTTTTATGCATATTTAAAAAAGATCTAAAAAACTCGAGAGCTATGAATGAATGGTATAAACGAGTGAAACGAATGTCACTAAACAATCTCTTCCGGGGAAAATAATAATAGTTTTCAAATTGTTTGAAATCATTGAAGCGGAGTACCAGTTATGTGTTGAATACGGGCGAACACATACAGACATACCTGTGCCTAAAGAGTGCCATTATTTTAAGAATAATAGGGCTTTAAAATTACAATAGGAGTGCAGTTATTGTTGATATTCCCCAGAGTTTTATGACATTTCACTGAAAAAATAATTTGAATTAAATGTAAAATAAATTGTTATCTCTTTTTTGCAATCGATGTCCGAATTTCTAGTATAATTGAAACCGATGTCAAAGCTCTGAATTCGCTTCAATCCAATTCGGGTCATTCGCGCCGGTCGTCCGACACGAGTCAGGTGTCAGAGATCTCTCAAATGAACTCCGAGTCCAACGATCAGGACTTGTCTAACGGTAGAGACGTTTGGCAGATATGGGGACAACTGATCAACGACTGGAACAATCAGTCCAAAAAGAATAAGACATTACAGGTATGAGTGTTGGCAGAGATTGACTTGATTTGCATATTAACGAGTGGTTTGTATTTGGATCAGGAATTGGTTCGTAAAGGCATTCCGCATCACTTGCGAGGAATGGTATGGCAGTTGTTATGCAACGCTCCAAACTGCTCCGTCCGCGACCAATACAGCGATTTCTTGCGCCAGTCCTCTGTCTGCGAGAAAGTCATTAAGAGAGACATTGCGCGCACTTATCCCGAACACGACTTCTTCAAAGAGAAGGGCAGTCCCGGACAGGAAGGCCTCTTCAACGTCATGAAAGCCTATTCAATACACGACAGCGAAGTTGGTTACTGTCAGGGAAGCGCTTTTCTGGTGGGAGTCCTTCTGCTCAATATGCCTGAAGAGGACGCATTCGCAGTGTTTACTTGTCTTATGCAAGATTACCGGCTCCGGGAGATGTATAAGCCCACGATGGCTGAGCTCGGCCTTTGTATTTACCAATTGGAGTGTATGGTTCAGGTTAGCACCAGATGTCTTGTCTGTTATATCTCCCTTAAGTTATATTTATTTATTTGATGCCACAAAACTTATGGTAATTTATTTACACGAGTAGGAACTGCTACCGGAGCTGTATATGCACTTTCAGTCGCAGAACTATCACACGTCTATGTATGCCAGCAGTTGGTTCCTCACACTCTTCACCTCATGCCTACCCCTTCACATCGCATACCGTGTTTTGGATCTCTTTCTCTACGATGGAATCGAAATGATTTTTCGCATTTCTATCGCTATATTATTGTTATGCAAAGAAGACTTACTTCGACTCGATATGGAAGGGCTGCTGAGATATTTTCAAAAGGAGATGCCGTCCAAATGCGAGACTGACCCTGATTATTTAGTTAACCTCTGCGTTCAAGTGAAGTACGACCAAAAGAAGATGAAAAAGTGAGACACAATCTAATGTTAAGATAATATACAAGTGTTAACTATTTTATTCGCATCATTAGATTAGCCAAAGATTATCAAACAGTAAAGGCTAAGGAACAGGAAGAGTTGGTTGAGCTGAGGGTCAGTCGAGAAAATGATTCATAATTTTATTTCTAATGTTTTTTATATTAACGAAATTTATTTTTGTTAACAGAGATTACGGACTGAGAATCGATTACTTCGACAGCGAATCGAGAACTTAGAGCACGAGAGCGCCGAATTGGCCGATAAACTGATTCAGGGACAGGTGTGTCGGGCACAGGAGGCTGAAGACAACTTTGTCATCAAACGAGAGTTGGCTGCCATTCGACAGCAGGAGTTGGAGGCGAAGAACGAGTTGGAGA